TTAAGGATACCAACACCAGATTGAGCATTTTCTAGTGGAAGGGTAGGTGGTCTTCTTGAAAACTGTTATTTTTCTTATTTATTTTTAATCAAGGCTTGCCTATGAGAGCTGTTAATTCAGATGATATAATCAAAACCACACACGATGAATTAATGATGTTATACCCCACCCCCACTAAAATTACATGGAGTCTGTTTAGGGAAGCCAAACTCCAGTCCTAAATCCTTAGAGGAAGGAAGCTGGAGGAAACCAAAGCATGCAGATTTTTTCATCAGGATTTCAGAAAAACCAGCATTTTACTCACATGTCCAAACTCAATCTGAGAACTTCTGAAGCAAGCTATCAACCCATCTCATCTCATCTCACCTCACGTCCTATATTGCAGGATTTCCAATAACTTTTTTTTTCCTAACATAAGATAAAGACTCCAGCCCAGATAGTATTCTAGAATGGTGTTCTAGTATGGGACATACCTGTAAACCTGTTCAATAACTCTATCTCTGCTCTGACTTCAGGGCTTTTCTGAAAAACTAAGCTTTTGGCATACTAGAAAAAAACTAGTATTTGCTGTGAAAATGCTCTCTTTCTTCCAAGAGCCTGACCCATAAAGCCTTAGTGGGACTACCTCATCTATTCAAGGTCACGGTACAGTGTTAGAACCTGGATTTAAACTCAGATCTTTGGATTCCAAGTCCAAAATGTTATTCTTGTGAGTTGAAAAACTGAGTATTTTAAGAAAACCTGGATTTCAGTCTATTCCATTCCATAATCAACGTTTGCATTAATGTGAGTATTTGCCTAATGAGTGCTCAACACTGCGCTAGATGTTATATTGGGAATACTAGAACAATTCATGACCAGGTCTGCACCTCTGGGTTATGGACAGTGGGGAGGTTTTGATTAAGTGGAAGGAGGGAGATTGTGGAAGAATGGGACAACATGAGGAAAGCCTAGAGGTGGGGAGTCATTTTTTTGGGTTGGAAATGGTGAGGAGAATGGTCTGGCTTGGGTAGAGGGTCTGATTTGGGGAATAAAAACATTGGTTAGGTAAGGTCAGTCAGTCACTAAGCATTTACTCAGCACCTATAGCTATTTGCCAGTGCTCATGCTAAGTCTGAGGAAACAAAGAAAGGTCAAAAACTGTCCAGGCTCTCAAGGAATTCACAGTCTAATGGAGGGAGACAGCATGCAAATAGCTACAGAGGAACAAAATCTATCCAGGATAGATTAGATGTAACCACAGAGGGGAGGCACTCCTTGTAAGGAGGATTGGGAAAAAGTTCTTGTGGAAGGTGGGGTTTTAGGTGGGACTTGTAGAAAGCCAGAGCAGCCAGGAAGTAGAGATGATGAGGGAGAGCATTCTAGGTTTGGGGGAGGCCTGTGAGACACCCAGAGTCAGGAGGTGGAGTATCTTGTTTTAAGGAACAGCAAAGAGACCAGTGTCCCTGGATGGAAGAGTAGGTAGGGGTGATTAGGGTGTAAGAAGACTGGAAATATGGGTGGGGCAGTTTGGGCTTTGAATGCCAAGCAGAGGATTTTATATTTGATTCTGAAGGTGATAAGGAGCCAGTGGTGTTTATTGAATGGTGGGGGAGGGGTAGGTGACAAGACCTCTTTAGGAAGATCACTTTGGCAGCTCAACTATCAGCCAGAGGACTTTAGGTTTTATCCTGTAGGGGAGCCCTTAAAGGTTTTTGAGCAAGATATGTCAAAAGGAAAGAAGATACTAAATGGACATGAATAAACTTCTCTGGCCTATCAAGCATGATGCCTTGCACATAGTAGATGCTTAAGAAAGCATGGGTCTGACCATAGTGACTCAACTGCTCAGTAAAACTCCAGTAGTTTCTCTTTACTTTTTCAACCAACTGTAGACACTTGTCTGGCATTTAAAGCCCTTCACAACCTGTTTCTAACCTCCTTTTTTGCACTTAGTATATATTTTTATCCTTCCTAGTCTCTAAGGGCTGTTACAATCAAACTGGCCTTCCTGCTGTTTCTCACACATGTTCAACCCTTCAGTCTCAGAATATGTTCTCTCTTCACCTCTGCCTCTCAGAAGCTCTGTTTGACCTTGAGGTCATCTGAGGCTTTTCTTAATCTTTCCCCCCCCCCGCCCCCCACCAGCTGCTTGGGCCTTTCCTTCCAAATTTAGCTTGTTTTTGTATATGTATGTTTGTATATACATCTACATGTCCCATTGTCTTTCTTGATATACGAATGTAGGAATCTTGGAGGTCTTTCTTGGGGGACTGTTTCTATTTTTGTCTCTCCCCAACCACCTAGAATAGTGCCTGGTACATAGTAGGTGCTTAAGAAATCACTGTTACATTGATTGAATGAATGAACGTTCCTCCAGAGGATAGCTACATTGAATTATTTTAAAAGCGTGGTTTGTCCTCTAAAGAAGAGAGATTCATGCTTTATTGATCCCATCCCTGACTTTGCTTTGCAAATGGGGACAGGGAAGAGAATAAGTCAGCGTATTAAGCCCTTTGTAGAAGGAAGACCTGAGAAAGTGCAGCCTCTAGTTTCCAGGTGGGCAAAGAAGCCACCATTATCTCCATGTTACACTTGAGCTGCAGAATGGTTATGGGTCTTTCTGGGGGTCGCATGGCTAGCTGATCAAGCCCTATTTGCCGTCTGGGGCTTTTTCCTTATAGAATGTCAAAAACATCTAGGACTTTCAGTGTTTGCTGTCCAGGGACTGAGCTCAGACCCAAATTTAATTTTATTGTGTCTCCTGCTAGGTGCTTCAGCAGTATCCTACTGGAGCCCTGTGTTTTCAGGCTGATGATCCTTTCTCGACTGTGAAGGGTTCTTATTTCCAGATTTCCTCATTTGTATCCATTTAAGAGAAATCCTTAAAAGAGATTTCCCTCCCCCTCCCCCACTTCTGCCTATTTGTGTGTAGCTGTGGGAAAACAATGTTGCCACCTAGCTGGAGTTCTGATTCTGGCCATGAGAGCTCCACCCTCTGGGCTAATACCTTATTTCTATTATAGGATTATGCAGTAAGGGCTCATCAGATCTAGAGTTGGAAAAACACTTAAGTGTTCTGTCTAGTCTAACTCCCTAATTCTGCATCTGAGAAAATCAAAATCGAGGCCCACATAAGTAGCGAGTCCTACAGGGGGTGTCATCTGCAGAGCTGGGATTCCAATTCAGATACCCAGACTGCTGAGCCTAGGCTTGATCCACTCTAATTTTCATCAGCAGCTTCCTTCCTTCTCTTTCTCCTCAATCTTATTTCATCTAAAATCAGATCTCGGAGTTCCTGTCCATAATCCATGTGTTCTAAGAGTTGTCATTGCAGATCTTAGAAATGCTCTTTTGGGCACACCCTAAGGAGAGATCAGTTAGCCAAACCCCAAGAGTTTATTGAGCACCTGTGTGCCCCACCCCGTGCTAAACTTTGGTCCTTGCCTTCAAAGGAGATCACATTATAGTTGAGGAAGAGTCAAGGCCAGTAGAATTTCTGTCTGTGTGTCTGTCTCACCCTTTCACTCTTTCTTTCTCTCTTTCTCTTCTCTCTCATTTTCCTCTCTCTCTTCCCTTCCTCCTCCTCTCTTGCTCTGTCTTCCTACCCTCCTCACAAACATCATCAGCTCACTTGAGCTTAATTACCATTTCTATGAAGATCAGATGATTCAGATCTATATACAGTATCCAGCCCCATTCTCTCCCATGAGCTACCTGTATCACCAGTTGCCCATTGAAGAGTTCAAACTGGTCATCCCAGAGTCATCTCAAAATCAATGTCTAAAGTAGAACTCATTATCTTTCCCAGTAAATCTGATCGCTTCCAAATGTCCCTATTTCTGTGGAAGATACTTACAGGTTTGTAGTGTTATCCTTGACCCTTCACTCTGTCACACCCAGCATGTTGTCAGTTGTCAAACCTCAGTGTGACTAATTTCCCAACATCTCTCCCAAGGGACTGCTTCCTCTACACTCATATACCACCTTAATTCACACCCTCAACACCTGTCCTTTTGTGCCTCTGCACTCTCTCCTGTTTTCCATTTCAGAATTCTTTTCTTCCTTCAAGAGACAGTTTAAGCACCACCTTCTACTTGTTTGTGCCCTTCCTTCTTATGTTTTTTGGCATATACTTACATATGCACTTGGTGTCTTCTCATTAGAATTTGATTTCTTTAAGAGTAGGAATTGTTTCATTCATTGGGTTTATATCTTCAATACTTACTTAGCACATAAGAGTCACTTAATAAATATTCGGTGATGATGATAATGATGAAAGTAAGCTTTTTGAGCCCAGGCACTGTTTCTTTTCGTTTCCTTATCCCCAGCACCTAGCACATAAGCCCTTAAGAAATGGTTGTTGAATTGAATTATTTACTCACATTTGAGAGTACATTGGACAATCCAGGACAATTTAAGGACCACATTTCATGGGACAGGTAGTAGATGATGTTGGGAGGTCAGCATGATCTGGGGCAATCGTGGAATGCTTCTCGGAGAAGGCAGAATGTTTGAATAGTCAGAAGGCAAATGGGGAAATATTTCAGAAGACTGAAAGAACAGAGGTTAGAATGGACACATGAAGTGTCTGATAGTGGAAAGATAGACATGACTAGAAGAATTTCTACATCTGATAGAAAAAAGAAGGACATCATGGAGTTTTAATCAAGGGAGTGACATGGTGAAAAGCATTAAGGAAAAAACTCAATTCTTGGCTTTACAGTAATGCAAGGAAAATCCAAGGGATTTCAAAAGGAGTTCTGTTTCCCTCTTGCCCTCCTCCCCCCTCCTCCATCTGCTCTGCTGTAGAGGAAGGCAAAACCCCTCACACTGTTGTTGGTGCTCCTCTCAAAACAAATTGGAGCAGCTGCTTCCTTGGTATTGAAGGCAAGGACTGTCCCTTTTTTTTTCTTTGTCCCCAAAGCCTAGCACAGTGCCTGACATATAGTTGGCTCTTAGTCAATTTTTTTTTAACTTTTTAAAAAATATATTAAATTAATATCTTTCTTTTTGCATCATCTCAATTTCCCAAGGTATCTGAGATCCATCCCATATAAGAAAGTATTTTTTCAAATTCTTGTTGAATTCTTTTAGATCGATTACCATTGGGAAAGCGCTCCATTGCTGGCTTTTCTGTGTGTGTCACTTTTCATAAAGCCTCAGCCAGGACCAGTAGATGCTGATTGGCTTCCATAATGTCACAGTGAGGGGAAGCCTGTGACACTTCCTGCTCTTTGTGGTTTTGAACTCCTCCCCCTCCCCACCCTCCTTTAAGAAACATTCCTCCAGTTTTTTTTTTCTTAGTACAAACACACAAACACACACAGAACTTTCTCTTTGCCAGTTTCTTCTGTTGTGAGTGCCTGGATCACTGAAGACAGTAGTTAAATCTCACACGTCAGAGAGTGAGGAAAGGGGCTAGAAGGAAGTCTGCAGAACGCTCTGATGCTCTTGGAGAGCCTGTTTGGGATTTTTCCTGCCAATAGTGCCTGTCAAGAGGAAATAGGAAATCGATATGATTGTGAAGATATACATCTCTGAATTCCATCTGTAAATAGACTGTCCACTCCTACTTCCCATGACCTGGAAGGGAACTTAGAGGTTACCTAGTCTAACACCCTTATTTTATAGGTGAGGAAACAAGCACACAATGGTTAAGTGATTTGATCAGCATTATACAGGCAGAGCCAGAAATTAGACATCAATCTTTTGATCCTAAATCCTGCTACGCTTCCTCCCCTGCATATACTGGCTGTGCCTTTATCCGTGTGTTACTAAATTGCTTTTAGAAATAAGTTCTGGACCTAGGATTTTTTTTTTTAAATATATGGTGTCCCAAGTGAGGAAACTCCCTCTTCCAAATACATAGCAACGCTTTTTCTTAGAGCGTTACCTGGAGCACTGAGAGGCTCAGAGGCCCATGGCTACTATCTATCAGAGATGGTACTTGAACCCAAGACTTCCCAGGTTCTTTGAGGCTGGCTTTCTAGCCACTAGACTTTGCTGCCTCCTTCAACCACTCTATGTTTACTCTTTTTTCATTATTTTCTTTCTAATTGTTTCTTTCTCCTTTACTTTCCCTCCCCTCCAAACCATAAGTTTAGAAGGGACTAAGAGAGCATTTGATCCACCCTCCTGCCCCAGAGGTAGTGGCGTAGTGGCCAGATTTGGTGCCTCTGGTACTTACCAGCTATGTGACCATAGGCTCGTCACTTAACCTCAGTTTCTTTATCTCTAAAAGAGGGTAATAGCACCTATTCATCAGGCTGTTGGGAGGTTCAGTTGAGATCTTTGAGTGAGTATTTTTTAAGTATTTACATTTCACCATACTACATACTATAAGCAAGGCCTAGTTACACATATAGGTATGACGTTATTTGTTGTTGTCTGAAGCTAGGTTTGAACTTGGGAAGATGAATCTTCCTGACTCCAGGCTGAGTATTCTACCCACTATGCTACCTAGATGTCCGTGGTCTTAGTAATCATTTAGTCCATCTCCCTCAAAGAAACTCAGAGGTTTGAGAATTTACGCAGTCATAGAGCTAGTAAACAACAGAGCCAGTTCCTAAAAACCAGAGCTTCTGACGCCAAGTCTTGGGCTGTTTCTGCTGTCTCTTGCTGTCTTGGATAGATACGATTGTGTGGAGGCATTTATTCGTGAGGGTATTGTATTAGATGAATCAGATGAAGATGAATGCCCTATCAGCTAAGCTGCCTGTGTTCCAGAATGCCCTGATGGCCCAGGAGCTTAACTTTATCATCTTTTTGACTTTGCTTTTTTTCTAAGTCTCCTGGTTAGCTTTGCCCACAGAGATGGGGAAGTGGAAGGAGAAGGCAATAAGCATTTATATAATACTTATTATGTGCCAAACACTGTGCTAAGCACTTTTTACAAATATTATCTCATTTGATCCCCACAACAACTGTGCTAGGTAGATGCTATTATCATTCCCATTTTTATAGTTGAGGAAGCTGAGGCAAACAGGGGTTAAATGACTTGCCCAGGGTCACACAAGTAGTGTCTGAGGCCAGATTTGAACTCAGTGAGATGAGTCTTCTTGACTCCAGACACAGCTCTTTATCTACTATGGAACCAGCTGCCTCAGAAAATATAAGACAGCATTTTTATAGTTTTTAAAAGACCTTTTATCTTATTTGATAACACAACAATCACAACAACTGGGTGAGATAGGTGTTATTATTATTATTATTACATTTGGGGAAACTGAAACCAATTAAATGACTTGCCCAGAATCACAAAATTAGTAAGTATCTGAGTCAGGAGTCTAACTCGTGTAAGAGCTCTGTGCACTATGGCAAACTGCCTCCTAGTTAGAACTTTCAGTTTGAGTTCCTCTTAAACCCCTTCAGCAATCTCCAATTCCTTCCTCTGTAGTGTTTAATGGCCTTTTTTAGGCACTGAACTTGGACCGTTTGTACTTGTGGGAGCTAGGTTGTGCAGCAAATAGAGCGTTGGGCATGAAGTTAGGAAGACCCGAGTTCAAATCTAACCTCAGACATTTACTAGCTTTGTGACCCTGGGCAAGTTACTTAACCTGTGTCAGTCTCAGTTTTCTCATTTGTAAAATAAGGATAATAGCGTGTACCTCACAGGGTCATTGTGAGGATAAAATGATTTGGTATTTGTGGAGTGCTGTATAAATGCCAGCAATGGGGGGCGGGGTGAGAGAGATAGGGAGAAAGAGAGGGGAGGAAGAGCTCGAGCCCTTATTTTTCCTTAGATCCAGAGCTGATGGGGGCTTTGAAAGTTATCATCTATACTTAACCCCATTGCCTCACCCCCCCAAAAGAAGTTATCATCTATACTTAACCCCATTGCCTCACCCCCCCCAAAAAGAAGTTATCATCTAGTTTAACCACACCTTGTACACATAAAGAAAGTGAGGTCCAGGATTCCCACACAGGTAGTGTCCTGCAGAGTCCTCTTTCTCCAAAACCAATGCTTGTTTTTTATTTTATTCCTCAGTTAAAGGAAGATAAAGAATAATCAGTCATCCAGTTCCATCTTTCTTATCTCCCATTTTACAGAGAGTGTAGGTGACTTGTTCAAGGTCACACAGGTATTAAAATCTAGTGCTCATTATACCACTCCATTTTTACTTCTTATTCAGATTTTCTTCCTAGCTGTCTCTTCCTTTTCTCCCCTCTCCTCCCAGCCTACACCCAAACCAAACCTAAAACCTGAGTTGGGCTCTCTGGCATTTTTTTCTGTAGTTGGTCTGGAGAGGATGGCCAACCTAATCCCATCATACCTGTCTGTGCAACTCCAAATGAGTTAGTGAATGATTTCTAGTAATCAACCCAATCCCATTTCCCTTTTTCTGAATCCAGAAAGAAATCCAAGTCGGAAACTAACCACAGAAAACATCCCCTCTGATGACCTCCTCTAGGTCCTTCCTCTTTATTATTTGGTTATGTTTTTTCTACCCTCAGTGATTTTGCTCTTATGGCCACAGTTTAATCAATTTACTTTCCCTTGCCTTCCCACTTTAACTGCATTACTAACATAAATAGCTTGGGGTTGGCCCTGGGGGCAGCCTTCTTCCCGGGTTTAGGGTTGCAGACCAGTTTGTAGGTCTTTATCTTTCTGTGGGATTGGGCTGTTTGTTTATTTTCAATTGAATCTGTGAGTGCTGGAATGCCTTCTGTGGCCTTTTTAAACACAGCTATCTCAAAACGCCTTTGTTCGCTGTTTTTTCCCCCTCCATCTCCTTGGAGGCATTTCATTAAGCCCTCTGCTTCTCCCCTTTCTCCACTTTCTGGCTAATCTCCTGTGTAATTTACCATTCTAAACCCGCGTTTTTCTTGAAAAGGTTGTATTCAGTCAGTCTCTATGAGCTCACCTTACTGTAGGGGTTTCCTTCCAGGGGCAGGAAAATGTTATAATGTGACAGGGTAGTAAAAAGAGGAGAAGCCTTCCTGAGCCTGAGATCAATCTTTCCCTCTTTGGGGCTGGAGTCAGATCTTGTTTTCTGGACCTCCGGGCCTCGAGGATTAAATGTTAACTAGAAAGTCATGCTCTGGTGTGTCCCTGATGGCCTTCCTTGTTTCTCCCATCCCTCTCGCACTAGTTACCCAGGGGAGAAGTTTTGGAACGTAAGTCTGTAAATGCCATTCCTCACTGTCCATTGGATCACTTTTTTTTTTTTTTTTGGTTCTTCTTTTGATTAACATTTGCTTTTGTTTCAGTTAAACCCAGGGGAGTTTCATGCTCCTCCTTCCCGGTTCATAAATGCAAAGTGGGTTTAGGAGCAGAATATTAACTCTTTCCGGTACTCCAGCTACTAAATTCAATTTCCCATCACTCTCAAGGCCTGAGACTTAGAACTTTTTTTTCCTTTTTTCTTTCTTTCTTTTTTTTTGGTGAGGCAATTGGGGTTAAGTGACTTGCCCAAGGTCACACAGCTAGTAAATGTCAAGTGCTTGGTCTAAGGCCAGATTTGAACTCAGGTCTTCCTGACTTCAGGGCCGATGCTCTATCCACTGATCCACCTAGCTGCCCCTAGAACTTTTTTGGAATCATAATTCTCTGATTGTTGTTGAGTATGTGGATATGTTTTTTTTTTTTGTGGTTTTTTTGTGCTAATTTCACTCAAATCTGTCAGTTAACATTTATTCAGTGTCTACTGTGTGCTGGCCATTGGGGATCTAACGATCATTCTCTATCCTGAAAGAGCTTGCATTCTAGCTGAAAGACACAATAAGGACATTTCTATGTATTTATACAAAATATATACAAAATAAACATTCGTTCAATCAAGAAGCATCTGCTGTGTTGTAGACACTATGATAAGCACTGAGGACACAAAAAGAGGCCTCAAGGAGCTTACAATTTAATGAGAGAGACAAGAAGCAAACAAATATGCACAAAGCAAACTATATATAGGATAATAGGGAAATGATTAACAGAGGGAAGACATTGGAATTAAGAAGGGTTGGGGAAGGCTTTCTGTAGAAGGTAGGATTTTAGTCGGGATTTAAAGGAAGCCAGGGCGGTCAAGAGTGGAAGTACAGTAGGGCAGCGTTCTGGGCATGGGGCACAGCCACAGGGAATGCCTGGAGAAGAAAGACGGAGAGTCTTATCTGCGCAACAACCAGGAGGCCGGAGTCACTGGAGTACATGTTGAGGAGTAAGGTGTAAGAAAATTACAAAAATGGGAGGGGGCTAGGTTATGAAGGGCCTTGAATGCCAAACGGACGACTTAGTATTTGCACCTGGAGGCAATAGGGAGCCATTGGAGTTTATGAAGTATGGGGGTGACAGAATCACACTTGTATTATAGGAATCACTTAGTGGCTGAATTAAGAATGGTTTGGAGTAAACAGAGACTTGAGGCAGATGGACCCACCAACAGTCTATTGCAATAGTCCAGGCTTGAAGTGATGAGGGCCTACACCAGGCTATATATAGGGTATATAAATGTAAGGTAGTTTGTGGGAAAAGGCATTATAAATGCAGCTGGGGGAG